TCTGCCACGCCTCCCCTCTCCGCCTCGCCTCCCCTCTCTGCCTCGCCTCCCCTCTCTGCTTCGCCTCCCCCCTCTGATTGCCTCTCGTGCTGCCTCGCCTCCCCTCTCCGCCTCGCCTCCCCTCTCCACCTCGCCTCCCCTCTCAGCCTCGCCTCCCCTCTCTGCCTCGCCCCCCCTCTCCGCCTCGCCTCCCCTCTCCACCTCGCCTCCCCTCTCTACCTTGCCTCCCCTCTCTGCCTCGCCTCCCCTCTCCGCCACGCCTCCCCTCTCTGCCTTGCCTCTCCTCTCCGCTACGCCTCCCCTCTCCGCCTCGCCTCCCCTCTCCGCCACGCCTCCCCTCTCAGCCTCGCCTCCCCTCTCCGCTACGCCTCCCCTTCTGCCTCGCCTCCCCTCTCAGCCTCGCCTCCCCTCTCTGCCACGCCTCCTATCCCGCGTGGCTTCCCCTCCCACTTCGCTTCGTATGTTGCATTGCTCCCCTTCTCAACCCACCTCCTATCTCAGTGCTTCCCCTCATCCCCCCTTGCCGATCTCCTCTCTTTAGGCGCCTCTCTCCTCTCGCGTCGCCTCTATCCTCCCGCGTCTCCTGTCTCACCTCCCGCCACCTCTCTCCTCCCTCCTCGCCATTACCCCATCTCCTCGTCTTTACCCCATCTTCTCGCCTACCTCCTCTTGCGCCGCTGCTTTCAGCCATGTCTAGCCCGTGCAATTCGCGTGTTGCTCACTTCCCTCGCTATGCCTCTACCATACGCCTCGTCTCGCCTAGCCTCTATCCTTGCTTAGCCTGTCCTCCCGCGTCGACTGTCTCCTCACGCATCGCCTGTCCTCTCGCCTTACCTCTCTCTTCTCACCACGTGTCGCTACTTCCTCTGGTGTCGTCTCTCGAATTTTGATCTGCCCATCTCCTCTTGCGTCGCCTCTGTCCTCCCGCTTCGTCTGTCTCCTCACGCCTTACTTCTCTCCTCTCAGCTGATATCTCTCCCCTCGCCTCGTCTCACTCTATCCTACCGCGAAGCCTCTCTCTTATCGAGTCGCTACATTCCTTCGCGTCCCCTCTCTCCTACCGCAAAGCCTCTCCTATCGCGTCGCCTCTCCTCCAGCGAGAGCCGCTCGCCTCTTGCCTTGTCATTCTCCTCTCGAATCAGTCTAAACCCTATTCCGATGCCTCACTTGCGAGAGAGTCACTTCACCACCTGAGACTTTTGGCTTTTTCGTCCATATCTGGAAGTACGCGCTTGGCTCCTAACTCGCCGGCGTAAATGGGTGGACCTTGTGGGATCTGTCTACCTCCTTGTCCCAAATTACCATCAAACTGGGCCCATTATAACAGCTCTGGGGCTGTTAGTAGGAGTAGAGGTTAAGGGATCCTTAAAGAAAGAGTGCTAGCATAATCAATAGATCATATGATAGCTTCAAACAAAGAAGAGAGGACACTTATACTAGGAAAGCTTTCTTGGCACCTTGGTACTTCTGAAGGCGCCTAGATAAGGTCGCCCGTGGCGCCTTGGCATTTCTATCCTAGCTGGAGACAAGCAAGCAAGCTCATGATTATTTACAAGTAGCCTTGCCTTGTTGTCTCTCCTAGGAAATAGCTAAACAAGCATAGAAATTAACTATACAAGTAGTTTTCATTTTCCAAGTAGTGCTGGTGTCTTCGTCACCTTGTACATGTCGATTGTAGTCTTCGCTGGCGCTTGTAGTAGCTGCAGTAGTTAATCTCTAGGTTGCGCTGGCGCTTTCCACGCTTTGCTGGCTCTCGGAATCTGCTCTAGAGTAGTGCTGTGACTCACAGGCAGCTGTACAAATTTGGGGTTGAGGAATTGTTCAGTTCGAGGCGCACGATTTTGGTTGGACAAATCCAACCTCGAAATCTACAGTTCGCTGAGTTGGCGAACTTTTGGGTGAGTTCGCTTTCGCCTTGTAACATTACTCCCCTCCCCAGTGAGCACCGTCCTCGGTGCTGCCCTGGAAGCAAGATACTTAGTAAGGGCTCGTTGCGCGTACTGCAAACCACTTCACAAGGTAGTAGGTGCCGTTGCAGGTGTCTTCATGAGCAAGGATGATCTCAACTTCAGAAAGGTCAGGAATTGGAGTGAACATAGGAGGAGGAGGAGGCCTAGAAGATGAGGGAAAGTGAGAAGGGGGTTGATGGTAAGGGCGTAGAAGTTGAACGTGGAAGACAGGATGGATGTTGATGTGAGATGGGAGCTTAAGGCAGTAGGTGAGAGGAGAGAGGACTTGGGTGATAGTGAAGGGTCCAATGAAGCGAGGAGCTAGTTTACGAGTAAGGCCTTCTTGCAGTAAAGGGAGATTGGCCGTTGAGAGGAGAACATGGTCACCTTCTTTGAAGTGGATGTCACGCCGATGCTGGTCAGCATACTGGATCATACGCCGCTGTGCTCGAAGAAGAGATGCACGTGCTGTTGCAATGACTGTGTTCTTGCTGCTGAGGAAAGCAGTTGCTGCAGTATCTCGAGTGGGGCTGTGTACGAGTGAAGAGGGAGTGCGAGGGTTCTGTCCAGTAGCAAGGTAGAAGGGGGTCTGTCCGGTGGCGAGATTCACTGTGTTGTTGTAGGAGAACTCGATGTCAGGCAAGTGGAGATCCCAGTCGTTCTGGCACGCGTTGACGCAAGCTCGCAGACCATCTTCAAGCGTTCGATTCATCCTTTCAGACTGCCCATCTGACTGAGGGTGATAGGCAGTTGAGAGGCGAATCTTGGTCTCGAGCCTGTTGAAGAGGGTTTGCTAGAATCGGCTAAGGAAACGAGAATCACGATCAGAGATTAGAACAGAGGGGACGCCATGAAGACGTACCACCTCTTTGAAGAAAAGCTCAGCAGTATGCTGTGCAGTAGCTGTGGTGGATGTGGGAATGAAATGCGCCATTTTAGAGAGCTAGTCAACGACAGTGAGAATGGCATTATGATGAGAGGCAGTAGGGGGGAGATCAGTGATAAAGTCAAGAGTGACATGACTCCAAGGGAGCTCAGGAATGTCCAGGGGATGTAAGAGACCATAAGGAGCTGCGTTGCAAGCCTTGTTACACTGACAGATATGGCAGGAGCGCACGTAGGAGCGAACGTCACGAGAGAGCTTGGGCCAGAAGAAATTGGCAGAGATGGCCGCAAGCGTCTTGTCGACTCCAAAGTGTGCGTTCTTGTCATGATGCTCGCAAAGCAAGAGGTGACGCAGCTTTCGGTTTGCTGGGACACAGATGGCGTGAGAGTCTGTCTTGTACCAGAAAGGGGATTCATAGTAGACAGACTTATGGGTAGGGGCAGAGGAGAGGTAAAATGAGTCACGCCAATATCCCTTGGTGAATTGCTGATGAAGTTCTCATCCCAAGTCACATTGCCAATGGCTGAAAGCTGAGAGGGTAGGGGTCGAGTCAATGAGTCAGCAGGATTGAGGCGACCAGCACGGTACTCAATCTTCAGCTCAGGTACATACTGTTCCAAGTATTCCATCCAACGAGCCTGTCTGGGGGTAAGGTGAGGTTGTGTCTTGAAGTGTTGAAGGGTGCAATGGTCAGTAAGGACAGTGACGGGTTGCATATGGACATAGCAACGCCACTTTTTAATGGCATGGACAATGGCCAACATCTCACGGTCATGAGTGGCATAGTTGCACTCAGCAGGTTTGAGCTTTCGAGAGTCGAAGGCAAGGGGTTGAAGGCCATGTCCCTGATCTTGACAAAGGATTGCACCTGTTGCAACACTGGAGTCATCTGTCCATATGGTGTAGGGAAGGGAAGGGTTGGGAAGGGCTAGAGTAGGAGAAGAGGTTAAGGCTTGTTTGATGGCTTCAAAGGCTTTGTCTTCGTCTGGTCCCCAGTGGAATCCTTCTGTCTTACGCAGTAGGTTAGAAAGGGGGGAAGTGATTGCAGCAAAGTGTTGAATGAACTTTCGATATTAGTTAGCGAGGCCAAGAAAGGCTTGCAGTTCTTTGATGGAAGTTGGAGGCTTCCAATCTTAGACTGCTTTTACCTTAGAAGGGTCCATGGACAACTGATTTTGTGAGATAATATGGCCCTCAGTTCGCTGAGTTGGCGAACTTTTGGGTGAGTTCGCTTTCGCCTTGTAACACCCATGCTATTTCCGTCGCGGGCTGGCTGGTTTGGCAGGGGAGGTGGCATGTTCTTGTGCGAAAAAGGGTGGTTAGCCCCTCGGCGTTTTCACGGTCTGGGTGAGGGTGGATTGGGTTACCAACCCGAACCACATCAAACTGGGCCCAGTTTGATGGTCAACCTTGCTAATTTGGGACCTGGGCTTTAAGGTGTATGACGCACTGCCTGTTTTCTTGTACGGCTTCAATTCTCAATGCTGCCCTGCCAACTGTACAGTCCAGACTTTCCCAAGCAACGATGAGAAAACAGCGGGGGTTTAAAGCGAGTGGTAAAAATAATGAAGGCGGGTCCAACTTGAAAGGGCCCAGAAGTTCGTCGTAGCGACTAAGGGACAAATAGGTTGGGGCAGAGGGGTTCACTGTCGAGACATGCGAGCTGGGGAAACTGCGCGAGCATGAGCGATTACTTGATTGGTTGGCGGGAACCCCCGTTTCGTTTGGTGGGAAATGTGGCATGAGCAGCACTTGGCGCGAACAGACTCAAGTCGCAAATATCGCGCCACCAGTCGCACAACCCCCACTGCCCACAAGTTGAACCAAGTGGGCCCAACTTGAATTTCAAGTTGGACCAGGGTTCATTACTCCTGCTGAACCAAAGCTGGTTGCCGATTGGTCGAAATTGTTGTCTGCGCATGCCGGTGGTCGTTCAATCTGTCACGATATCATTCCCCTCGCAGGTGCAATTCGATTTCGTGGCCCAAGGCAAGGTAAAAAATCCGGGCTGCTGCCCGGCGCGAAACAAAATATTCGCCCAAGGGTCGTTTCTAGTTGGGCCCAACTAGAAAGGGGGGTCACTATTATAACCTCTCGCTTTAAATACCGTACAGTATCCGCCAGCCCCGCCAAACCCCGCGTGCTCCATCTAGACTGCTGGGTCGACCCCTCCGACTTCGACAGCTCTGGACTCCCGATTCCGAGTCAGACGCTTGACTCCCAACGACTATCAGGTCCTTCAGGACTGGGCTCCAGCTGCACAATTCGATAGTGGATCGATAGCTCCTGTCTCGATGATACCGGACAAACCTGGCAGCGGCGCAGTTCGTTTTATGCATACACGGTACTGTACTGACAAATCGCCTCGTTTTGATTTGTTTTTTTGTGACGAATTTACCATTACAGTACCTAACTACAACCTCCAACGGCGGAGTTGTCGCCACCTGGCTATGTGTTGGCGGGCGTAGCGGACAACCGAGGTCGTCGGGCGGACGACAAGATGGCCCACCCACTGTGGCATCATGCTGACCCGCCGTGCTGGCCTTTACTGTACCGCCGAGCGCCTTGGACTCCAGAAGAGGCTCTTCCAAACTTGCGAACAGAGTGACAGTCACAGTGACAGTGAGCCGGATTTCTGCCCGGGAAGCTCTGAATTTCCGCCGGAAATCCCGTGATGCGGTTTTGCGAGTGGCGATGGGGGCACTGGTGTGTTGAGGAGGGGACGGAGGGAGAGAGGGGGGCTGCGGCGGGTGTTTTCATTAGATCAGATCTGCACGGGGGCATTATGAGGCGGAGGAGGGGGGAGGGGAGAGCGGATCTCTGCGGGGAGCAGCGTGAGCGGACCTCCTCAGGAGGCTGCTGCTCCGGCGAGGGGTGCTAGGGGAGTGGCATGCAGCAAGGCCTCAATTCCGAGGCCTCGGGACTGAGTCAGTGGTACAAACACAGGCCCTTCTAGGCTACTACTGTACTAGGCACCACCACTGGTGCTCTTCACACCAACGTCGAACGTTTTCACAATCCGAAGTCTATTCGCCGTCTCCCACGAATAAGAAGGTGTCGGGCGTCACCCCTTGAATAAGCCCTCGCCGCTAGCCATGGCACCTCGCCGCCTTCCGGCATTAGTTGTTTCAGCGCAAGCGGCGGCGCTTGCGCTGCTGCTCGTCGTCGCGGCGGCGCTTGGCGGGGTGCATGCATCGGGGGGAAGGGCGGAGCCGCGCAGGCTGGCCGCGGGTGGAAGCGGGACTGCAGCGGAGCTGGTAAAGGACTCCCCCCGTTCTTCCGCGGAGGGGGAAGTGGGGAATTCCGCGCTTGTGGTGAACGATTCCGCGCCTTCTTCCGCGAAAGGGGGTGAGGGGGCGGAGGCGGAGGCGGAGGCGGAGGTGGAGGCGGGGGTTCCGCCGCTGCAGCTGATAATAGCGGAGGAAGGGCGCGCAGTGGGCGCAGTGTGCTTGGACGGGTCGGCTCCAGGATTCTACTATCGGAAGGGCTATGGCTCAGGCCGCAACAACTGGGTGCTCTTCTTCGAGGTGTGTGACTGTAACGAATGGCACACTCCTTCCGTTCTCTTCTTTCCCCTCTCCTCCCTTCTCCTCCCTTCTCCTCCCTTCCTTTTTCATGCTTCGCTTGTTGATGCGGCTCCTTCCGTTCTACTTCCCTTCCCCTCCCGTCTCTTTCTTCCTTTCCCATGCTTCCTTGCCCTGTAACAAGCCGCCCGTTCCCTTTCCTTTTCTCTCTGCTCTTTCCCCTTTCTTCCAAATGAATCCACAGCGGTGCATGGTGCCACTCTCCTCCGCATGGCTGCCACCGCCAACAGGGCCACAGCCTCAGGGCCACAGCCTCGGGGCCACAGCCTCGGGGCCACAGCCTCGGGGCCACAGCCTCGGGGCCACAGCCTCGGGGCCACAGCCTCGGGGCCAGCAGCCTCGTGTTTGCCTTGTTCCTCCCACCCCCTCCCTTCCCTCCCCTCCACGCCCTTTCCGTGGAAACCCAGGGCGGCGCTTCGTGCCCTTCCGACCACAGCCGCGCGCACAGGCCGGCCACCATCCAAGGCTCGTCAGCCGTCTTACATTTGACTTGTTCCTCCCGTCCCTCCTTTCCCCCGTTTCCCCCTTCCCCCCATCCCCCGTCCCCCGTCCCCCCTTTCCCTCTTGCCCCCACCCCCCCATCCCCCCTTCCCCCATTCCCCCCTTCCCCCCCCCCCCTTCCCCTCCTTTCCCGAGACATCCAGGGCGGCGCATGGTGCTCGTCGCACCACGCCTGTGCGCACAGGGCCACCACCATCTTGGGGTCGTCAGCCCTCTTTCTGCCTGCTGAAGAGATGGAGACCACGGAGAGGGGCATGAAGGGCATGTTCAGTGCCAACCGCACCATCAACCCGGGTGAGGCCATGGAAGGTATAACGCCTCGCTACCCACTGGGTCAAAACGAGATTACCCAGAGGCGCAGCGGAATGCGTTTCTACACTCTAGGGTAATTCCGTCCGCAGACGTTACAGAAGGAGTGGCGAGCGGCCCACCAACACTGGGCTCTTCTCCCCTCTGCACTCTTCTCCTTGCTGCGCTCTTCTCCCCTCTGCGCACTTCTCCCCTCTGCGCACTTCTCCCCTCGGCGCACTTCTCCCCTCGGCGCACTTCTCCCCTCGGCACACTTCTCCCCTCGGCGCACTACTCCCCTCGGCGCACTTCTCCCCTCGGCGCTCTTCTCCCCTCGGCGCACTTCTCCCCTCGGCGCTCTTCTCCCCTCGGCGCTCTTCTCCCCTCTGCGCTCTTCTTCATGCACTGTTGCCTTCTCTCGCCGGTCAAGCTCTCTTCATTCTCTTGAAGCGCATCAACTCCCTCCTCCCTCCCTCCACCCCTCCCCGGGGCCCTTGCCCCCCACCAGACTTCTACAATTGGAATGCGGCATTCTTCCCTTACTGCGATGGCGGCTCTTTCTCAGGCGATCGGGAGCACATACCCGTCCCCAATGTGAGCTTAACTCCTTTCGACTCCTCTCCACTCCTTTTCAGCCCGGTTTCCCTCCATTCCTTGTGCCCCCTCTTGCTGTGCTCCCCTTTGGAGTTTTCTAAACCTGACCCCTCTCTCTTCTGCCTTCTGCTTTTCTAGCATCGCTCCGTTTGCCTACTAGCTGTCTCCTGTAGCCCCACGTAGGCCCACCTAGGCCCACCTAGGACCACCTAGGCCCACCTAGCCCCACCTCGACCCACCTAGACCCACCTAGGCGCACCTAGTCCCACCTAGGCCCACCAAGGCCCACCTAGCCCCACCTAGCCCAACCTAGGCCCACCTAGTCCCACCTAGGCCCACCAAGCCCCACGAAGCTCCACCTAGGCCTTGTGAGGCCCTCACAGGCCCGCCGTCCTTCCCTGCCCACTCATCCTCCCAAGGCCCTTCCGCCCTTCCTTGCCCACTTTCCCCTTGTGCTGCTGCCCCCAGGGCGCGCCTCTGTATCTTCGCGGCAGAAGGGTGGCTGACTTGCTTCTGAAGCACCTGATTGACAGGATGGGGCTTGCCCAGGCACACCAGGTGAGAGGGATGGGGCTTGCCCAGGCACACCGGGTGAGAGTGATGGGGCTTGCCCAGGCACACAGGGTGAGAGGGATGGGGCTTGCCACGGCACACCGGGTGAGAGAGATGGGGCTTGCCCAGGCACACTGGGTGAGAGGGATGGGGCTTGCCACGGCACACCGGGTGAGAGGGATGGGGCTTGCCCAGGCACACCGGGTGAGAGAGATGGGGCTTGCCACGGCACACCGGGTGAGAGGGATGGGGCTTGCCCAGGCACACCGGGTGAGAGGGATGGGGCTTGCCCAGGCACACCGGGTGAGAGAGATGGGGCTTGCCACGGCACACCGGGTGAGAGGGATGGGGCTTGCCCAGGCACACCGGGTGAGAGAGATGGGGCTTGCCACGGCACACCGGGTGAGAGGGATGGGGCTTGCCCAGGCACACCGGGTGAGAGAGATGGGGCTTGCCACGGCACACCGGGTGAGAGGGATGGGGCTTGCCACGGCACACCGGGTGAGAGGGATGGGGCTTGCCCAGGCACACCGGGTGAGAGGGATGGGGCTTGCCCAGGCACACCGGGTGAGAGGGATGGGGCTTGCCACGGCACACTGGGTGAGAGGGATGGGGCTTGCCCAGGCACACCAGGTGAGAGGGATGGGACTTGCCCAGGCACACCGGGTGAGAGGGATGGGGCTTGCCCAGGCACACCAGGTGAGAGGGATGGGGCTTGCCCAGGCACAGCAGGTGAGAGGGATGGGGCTTGCCCAGGCACACCAGGTGAGAGGGATGGGGCTTGCCAGGCACACCAGGTGAGAAGGATGGGGCTTGCCACGGCACACCGGGTGAGAGGGATGGGGCTTGCCACGGCACTCCGGGTGAGAGGGATGGGGCTTGCCGAGGCACACCGGGTGAGAGGGATGGGGCTTGCCCAGGCACACAGGTGAGAGGGATGGGGCTTGCCCAGGCACACCAGTTGAGAGGGATGGGGCTTGCCCAGGCACACCAGTTGAGAGGGATGGGGCTTGCCCAGGCACACCGAGTGAGAGGGATGGGGCTTGCCCAGGCACACCAGGTGAGAGGGATGGGGCTTGCCACGGCACACCGGGTGAGAGGGATGGGGCTTGCCACGGCACACCAGGTGAGAGGGATGGGGCTTGCCACGGTACACCAGGTGAGAGGGATGGGGCTTGCCACGGCACACTGGGTGAGAGGGATGGGGCTTGCCCAGGCACACCGGTGAGAGGGATGGGGCTTGCCCAGGCACACCAGGTGAGAGGGATGGGGCTTGCCCAGGCACACCAGGTGAGAGGGATGGGGCTTGCCCAGGCACACCAGGTGAGAGGGATGGGGCTTGCCCAGGCACACTGGGTGAGAGGGATGGGGCTTGCCCAGGCACACTGGGTGAGAGGGATGGGGCTTGCCCAGGCACACCAGGTGAGAGGGATGGGGCTTGCCACGGCACACCGGGTGAGAGGGATGGGGCTTGCCACGGCACACCAGGTGAGAGGGATGGGGCTTGCCACGGCACACTGGGTGAGAGGGATGGGGCTTGCCCAGGCACACCAGGTGAGAGGGATGGGGCTTGCCCAGGCACACCGGGTGAGAGGGATGGGGCTTGCCCAGGCACACCGAGTGAGAGGGATGGGGCTTGCCCAGGCACACCAGATGAGAGGGATGGGGCTTGCCACGGCACACCGGGTGAGAGGGATGGGGCTTGCCACGGCACACCAGGTGAGAGGGATGGGGCTTGCCACGGTACACCAGGTGAGAGGGATGGGGCTTGCCACGGCACACTGGGTGAGAGGGATGGGGCTTGCCACGGCACACTGGGTGAGAGGGATGGGGCTTGCCACGGCACACCAGGTGAGAGGGATGGGGCTTGCCACGGCACAACAGGTGAGAGGGATGGGGCTTGCCCAGGCACACCGGGTGAGAGAGATGGGGCTTGCCACGGCACACTGGGTGAGAGGGATGGGGCTTGCCCAGGCACACCGGGTGAGAAAGATGGGGCTTGCCACGGCACACCGGGTGAGAGGGATGGGGCTTGCCCAGGCACACTGGGTGAGAGAGATGGGGCTTGCCACGGCACACCGGGTGAGAGGGATGGGGCTTGCCACGGCACACCGGGTGAGAGGGATGGGGCTTGCCCAGGCACACCAGGTGAGAGGGATGGGGCTTGCCCAGGCACACCGGGTGAGAGGGATGGGGCTTGCCCAGGCACACCGGGTGAGAGGGATGGGGCTTGCCCAGGCACACCGGGTGAGAGGGATGGGGCTTGCCCAGGCACACCGGGTGAGAGGGATGGGCGGAAGGTCACTCATTCCCTTGCCCTGCTAGCCTCGTCTCGTGCTTACCTCGTCTCGTGCTAACCTTGTCTCGTGCTAACCTCGTCTCGTTCTAACCTCGTCTTGTGCTAACCTCGTCTCGTGCTAACCTCGTCTCGTGCTAACCTCGTCTCGTGCTAACCTCGTCTTGTGCGAACCTCGTTGCGTGCTAATGTCTTCTCGTGCTAATCTCGTCTCGTGCTAACCCCATCTCGTACTAACCTTGTCTCGTGCTAACCTCGTCTCGTGCTAACCTCGTCTCGTGCTAACCTCGTCTCGTGCTTACCTCGTCTCATGCTAACCTCGTCGCGTGCTAACCTCGTCTTGTGCTAACCTCGTCTCGTGCTAAGGGGGAGGTTACATTAAGGGCTTGGGGTTCGAATCCGGCTAGTAATCGACGTCGCCACGGGTCCCCGCAACCACAAGCGGTTGCACTCGCGCAGCTGCTGTCGGAGGCGGTAACGGGCCCCTAGGACCAGCTCGATGTTGATGAGAGCGACACACGCGCTAACCACGTCGACGACGTGCTCGAGGTCACTCTCTTGGCGCCCTTCCGTAATCTGGAATTTGCCCTTGATTCGTCCATTGGACTGCTCAACGACCATCCGCATCCGGCTTTGCTGCTGATTGAAGATGACATCCCAATATACCAGGATCAGAAATACGGAGTAGGTATACAGTAAGTACGGCATAGGTACGTCTGCTACGGAGTAGCCTTGCTATACGAACAACTATACCTACAATATAGGAGAGATCCAGATTTTTAAGCTCGGAGCTTTGCGTTAGGGAGGAGCTGACCTGCAGTCACACGATAGGGAGGGAGGGTGTAGTTGCGGAAGCCGTAGGCGGCATCCGCGACAATGCAGTAGGAGCCGATGCCCCTGGCTGCAATGCGCTGACTTGCAGGGCTGTTCTCGAACACCCTCGCGTTGTTCACTGAGCTGGGCCATCCGAAGTAGAAGTCTGAGATGTTGCCATTGCTGTCAGTGACAAGCTGTAGAATAACAGAGTGAAAGCCCTTTTCTATTCCTGAAATCGTCGCGGTGTGGTTCGAAGCCTCGCGTGCGGATGTATGTTCCGTCGAGAGCCCCAACAACACCTTGGATCCGCCCTCCAGGCGGAACTCACGCTCCATTCTTTCGAGTTGTTGCGCATCTGGCCAAACAACCCATAGCGGCGTTAAAGCCCGATCGGCAGGTTGCATATTGGTACTGTCGATTTAGGTGGGGCAGCAGATTACAATTGGTTGACGAGGAAAAAGATAAACGAAATCGTTTTGCGAAACTTTATCTTCGTCCAGCTCCTGCCTGCGCGGGAGTCCCCAAGGGCTACGCAACCTGGCAAAGGGGACTCACACTTGCCTCTTTACCATGCAAGGGGGTTTGCGTGCCTGCGTTTTTGCGCAAACAACCCACCTCGGCTTTTTTTGTTAGGGCAAGTTGGAAGAAAACGAAACTCCAACTAGTGGGCATCAGTTTTTCCCTTGTGCAATCAAACACACATTGGTACACTCGCAAGTGGTTGGCAGACCAAAAGTCGCAACCACTAAACCGCCCGAAAGTCGAAATTCGTACGAATAATTGAGTACGCGTATAATAACGCGTACTCAACTACCTTGAGTAAAGCAACTACCACTGATTGAGTTCGCGTATAATAACGCCCCGTCAGTCACAACCCGACAGTCACCATTCTACCTTAATTATAGACAAAACTAGGCTTGAGCATCTACCCGACCCGACCCGACCCGATCCGACTTGGCTGACCCGTGATCGGGTTCGGGTCGGGTCGGGTCGGGTGAAGGTCGGGTCGACCCTAGGATTCTTCCAACCCGACCCGACGAAAACAGGTCGGGTCATACCTGCCCGCGGTCGGGTCGGGTCGACCCGACCCGACCACGGGTACGGCGACCCGTCCTTTTTTAAAGGGCATCCATAGCAGCCTAAGTTACAATGATCTATGCAGCGACTAAAAGCTTTTTTCCTCCTAATTTCAAGATCCGCTTCGTATTCCTCGTGTTTGGGGGTGTTGGTGAAAATCGTTGGTTGGGGGGTGCTTACAAGATTTTACTTGGGGTGTTGACGAAAATTCGAGTGGTTTGGAGGCGTCGGCGAAATTTGTGTGGGTTGGGTGGGGGTGTTGGCAAAAGGTCGTGTGGGTTGGGGGTAGACATGGTTACATCGCATCGCATCGCGATAAATCGCATCGCTTTTTATCGCATTTTGCGATAGCGATTTATCTTTAAAAAAAAAAAAAAAAGAATATCGCGGCGATGCGATGCGATAATATCACGCGATATTTGTGATATCGCGTTTTTATCGCGCTATTTTTTGCGCGATAAAATGCGATAAGCGATAAAAAGATATCGCGCGCGATACTTTCGCGTTTCGCGCCGCGGAATTTCGCCAGCAAGGGGAGGGACATGGGCGAGGGCCCTGAACTTCCCAAAAATAGAAGGTGAGCTAGTCTAGGTTTCTCTTGGGGTGATGCTGAATGACGCGCGGAAATGGCAAGCGGCAGTTTGGGGGGAGGAGTTTGTGTGAGGAGCAGAGCTTGGAGAATATTAGAGGAAGGGTTGGAAATCCTAGATGGGAAGGAGTGCAGTGCGGTTGAGGGAGGGGAGTTTGGTGGGGGTTCAAAATTGTTATGGTTGGTGGTGGGTGGTGGGCGAGTGGGTTTTCTGGATGGGATGTGGTGGTGTGCGGTTGAAGGGATTTAGGGGGTTGGACTGAAATCTCGACCCCCAAAGTCAATTGGTTGGACTCCAACCAATTTCCACCACTTCAACCGCACTAAAATCCCTTGCATCTACAAAATCCAACCCCGTCCCCTCAAACACGCTCCACATGAGAGAGGGACCACGATATTGCCATCTCCCGTCAATTCACTTACCTAATTCCGCGCGAACCTAGGAGAGCTACCATTGTCGTGCCCTGTGGTGTGGGAACTCGTTTTTTTAGGGCGGGAAAACAGTGGCCCCTAAATGCGATGTGATATTATATCGCATCGCGCGATGCATCGCTTTTTTTAGGCGATATTTTTAAAAATCTCCCCCTAAAACGCGATATGCGATTTCGGTTTTTTTTTTAACATATCGCAGTGATGCGATATCACATCGCTGCGATATAATGCGCGATAAGAAAGAATGCGATGCGATATCGCATCGCATCGCGTTTTGACCATGTCTAGTTGGGGGTGTTGGCGAAAATTCGTGTGGGTTGGGGGTGCTGGCGAAAATTCGCTTGGGTTTGAGGTGTTCGCGATTTCTGAGTTGAGTAGGGTGTGTGCTGAGTCGATTCCATCCAAAAGGAGATCTAGATCAGCCTAGACCCGTTGGGCAATTTCTTACCCTAAGGAAGGGAGGAAACACTAGTTCTAGCTGAAGTAACCGTCTGATTCTGCAAAGAACTAGGTCGGATGTTGACTTAGGCTAGGGCGAAGCTTAGCTAGGAAGTTTAGGGTTGAAATTTTGACCAAATGGTCGAATTTTCATATCTGCGCGATTTTGGCCGCGCAGATCCCGTCGGGTCGACGCACGACCCGACTTCGGGTTGGGTTGACCCGAAACCCGACATGTCGGGTACGGGTCAACCCGACCCGTCTAGAAAAAACCTAACCCGTCGGGTCGGGTTTTCCCGTCGGGAATACCGACCCGACCCGACCCTTTGCTCAAGCCTAGACAAAACCGTACAATAGGTTCATGCCCAACATCGAAAATCCCAACAGTTGGCTGAAATATTACAGAAGGTCCGGGAGCGAGCAGCCGAAGCCATTAAGCGCGCGAATGTTATTTCTAATCGTAACGCGGATCTATACCGATGAGCTGTGACCCACAATGCTGGAGACGTAGTACTGCTCAACACCCAGAACCTTCGACTGCCCAGGGTCCCAAAACTTCGCCCCCGCTACTACGGACCATTAACAATCAGCCACATGATACCTTCCGTCACGACCCACCTACTGTTACCAGCCACCTAGAACGTAAGTCCATCATTCCACGTGCGACTGTTACGACCATAGATCACCAACACCAGTAAATTGCCTCGCCATCGGGCCAACTTGAACATCGGACCGCTCGCCAAACCTACACTCGAACCTGCGAAGACTCTCGGCCATCGAATCAAGATCCAGGGTTCTATTCATCATACTTTTCTTGTATGATTGTCTGAATCCGGAAACTGCAATTCATATTATGAGGACATGTTACGTATGAATTTCTACATAACTGTTTAGTTTGTGCAAGAAATATATGGTAAAGTGTTCTGATTTCTTGTAAATCTGCCTAAAGCCTCAATTCGGGTTTGCAAAACCGACAATCAGTCTAAAAAAAAAAATCTGATAAAGAGAACCCTTTTAAGGACCCTCGAGGGGCTCGCCTAATCTAGTTAATGATACAGTATCTTGGAAGGACCGGACGGCCCTGGAAAAAAGCTGGGTGCCCCTAGCACAGATCGAGGATTACCCGGAATTACGAGTCTTCTACCTCCAGTCACGCAACGTGTGCGACGTCGGCAAACTTAGCTAAGACCATACCGTGGAGGGGGGAGGGTGTAAAGAAATGATATTTTCTTATCACGAGTTGTAGTTCAAAAAGCGTACATTGCTATAATGGGGTTGCCCTGCATCTTTGCCACGAAATTCAAATCGAAAACCCGAATATGGTCTCCTGACGAGCCGCATGCATTTTGCTCGTCTTGCTCTTTCATGCTTAGATCTGGGCGCTTCGCACCAATTTACAAACCACATGTCTCAGCTCTGCCGAGCCTTGACCGTGTGATTTAGGCCTAGCTATCTTCCTGCTCCCTGTTGTTGTGATGTTGCCGCATTGTATTGTTCCCTCGTGACTCAATTATTCGACACACGCTCTTAACGCTTCATTACACTTTGACGTCTTGCATGTGGTTGTACAATCCAGCGAATTCTCAATACACTACGTACAGTAATGAGGTGGGGTATGCCAACCACTTGGGGAGCAAATCTCACTTGGGGTTGCCAACCACTAAACCGCCCGAAAGTCGAAATTCGTACGAATAATTACCCTTCGTGCTATGCTCATCTCGTCTCGTCACGGCTCTCACAATCTCTTCACTCCTCTACTCCCTTCCCTCCTCTACTCTCTTCGCTCCTCTACTCTCTTCGCTTCTCTCCCCTCGTCGTCCCTCCCTGTGCTCCAGGTGGTTGTGGCGGGGTGTTCGGCAGGTGCCGTGGCAGTGCTGCTACACTGCGATCGGATCCGAGCCGCACTGGAGGCCATCGCTCCCTCCATTAGCGTCCGCTGCATCGCAGATTCCTCCATGTTCCTTGACCTGTGAGACGGGACCCATGCTGACCTGAAAGACCCATGTTGACTTGTGTTGACTGCGTTGACCCGATTCAAGGTGCAAAAGTACGGCCGTTTTTTTTTTTTTTTTTTTGGCGTATAATACGGAATCGTATTTTCCGGTCGTATAAAACGGTTTATAACGCTAAAAGTGTACCTTTTTTGGTTGGTGCAAAAATACGGCCGTTTTTTTCAACCCACCGAAAAGTAGTGGGTCCCGAAAGGGGAAGGAGAAAGTGGTAGAGGGGAGGGGGAGGGGGGGGAGGGGGAGGGGGAGGGGGGGAGGGGGAGGGGAGGGGAGGGGGGGAGGGGGAGGGAGGGGGGGGAGGGGAGGGGGGGAGGGGAGGGGGAGGGGAGGGGCGAGGGGGAGGGGGGGAGGGGGAGCAGGCGGAGACGGACAGCGAGGGCAGCGAGGACAAGGGAGCAACCCGTGGGACTGCAGTGATGGGAACAGTGGGGAGGACGGAGGAGGAAGAGGAGGAGGAGTAGGAAGAAGCGGGGGAGTCGCAGCAAGGAGCCGTGGTGAGGGAGGAAGGAGGGCATAGTGGAGGAATAGGGGGGGGCATGGTGGAGGAGTAGGGGGGCATTGTGGAGGAGTAGTAGGAGTAAGTTAGACTAGACTGACTGGAAAGTTGCTTGTTAGCCCGCGTAGCATTCGGTAGTCTGTCATAGCCAAGGTACTGTCAGTTTCTGCATGTCTGCCCTTTTTGTTTTTCCAAAGATTTTCGTCTATTGAAAAAACGGTGTTTTTTTAAAAAATCTGGCGTATTATACAACCGTATAAAACGGACCGTATAATACGGATACCGTTTTTTTTGCACCCTGACCCGAT